AAATGTACATGACTCATCAAACAACTATAAGCTTACTATGAAAGGGTAAAGAGAAGATTTTTCTAAGATATACTTTTTCTTTGCTGCAAAGAGGATGGGCTATGGGGCTTATTGTATCCTATGAGTCTGTCAGTCCCATCCCTGAGGAAGGGCACACTGTGATCATACATTCTTTTTCCCTCTCCCTCTCAACATCTGCTAGACTACTGGCTGGGAATAAGATTTTTCAAACCTGTTTCAAATAGAGAACATGCAACCTCCTGTCTTTCACACCTGGAAGAACTCATTCATAACGTTTCTCAATATTCCTTTAATAGTTTGTATGACCCCACTATGAAAGTTTCTTTGGGTTAGGAAAGAGTAAGTGTATTTCTCAAAATATTACAGTGATTTATCCTTTTCTTCACCCACAACATGGGAATATTAGTATCCATGTCAACTAGTCATTATGCAAATTAAATGAAATAATGCTTTTAAAGTGATTAGCACATTGCCTGATATACAAATGTTCAATGCCTGCTAGATACTATCACCATCAAAGATAATTTATATTGACAATTTGACCACACAGGAACAGAGGAGTTACCATAAATGTTGAGTACTAAAATTTTTATCTTCAATACCTGGCACGCAGCCAATATATATGATTTGAGACTATACATTCCTCTCAAGGTGAGTTACAGAACTATGCTACTTAGCAGTGTGATCACACACACACGCGTCCCTTCCAATCTCCTGCCACCTTTCTCTCAAATTCCGGGCCAGTCTCAATCCAGACTTTTACATTAAAATCATTCAGGCAAGCTGGGAATAAAAATGTAATTCTAAATCGTTCTTCACAGATAAGGAACTCCAAATGTACAAGGACAAATGCAGCAGCACTATTTGATACATTATTTTTCAACATAAACATTTTCATTACAATCTTTGGATTAAACAGACTTTACCAGTTTTTTCCCTTTTTTCATTCTATTTTACTTTTTTAAATATACAAAATAAAACTAAGATCAAAGGATAAATATAATTTCTTTTAACATAAAGCTTCTTTCTTGTACTCTATCCCAAATAACAATAGAAATAATCCTATATAGGTATCTCCTTTTCAAAAGTTTACTTTACACCATGTCCCTTTTACAAAAGACCTACGTTATTATGTTTTCCCTAACAGAAACAAATTTGAAGAGGATTTTTGCTTTTACAAAGAAAGGTGAAAAGCAAAAGTAGCATTCATTGTTTGTTTTGGAGAGAGTGCCCCACTCCTTCCCCAGGATTCACACTAGCTATCTCAGCATCAGGCCACCAGAGCTTTGAACTGCATCTACACCTTATCTCAATTTAGCTTATGCATTTTTAGCAAGATGTGTCCTAAGGTAACTTACTTTGCTTTACACCATTTCCGCTTACAAAAAGTTTCGCAGGAACACTCTACTTTCAGATAGCAAGGGAACCCAGCTTCTGTGTTATGATACTTTCTCCAGACTAACACTTCTGTGGCTAAAACTATTTTCCAAGACTTCCTGTAACTAGGGTACGACATAATCTGCATTCAGCTATGCAGAGGTGTTGAATGAAGAATTGTGAGGAGGAACTGGTCAGCATGAGTTGGGTGGGGGGTGGAGGACAGGAACAAATGGTAGTGAGGTAGTCATCCATCTGGGGCTGTCAGTGTGGCTACCTGAGTGGGCCAGGATTATTGGGGCTTATAGGGTCTGCAGTGGGGAAGACAGCTTTTGTAGCAGGCCAGTTCTAAGGTGGCGTGGTTCTATAAATTGTTTCTGCAAGTTCAAAATGTAGCCTGTCCTTTAGCTCTGCCATTGTGTCTGGAAATCCTCTTATTTTCTTTAGTAAATTCTTTCTGCTTAAACAAGCTTACCTGGATTCTGTTGTCTGAAACTAAGAACCTCGACCAATACCCAGAAAATAAAAAACATTTTAATGAAACTCAATAAACTCATTTATATAAAGTTCAAAAATATGCACAACTAAAAACAAACAGTTTTGAGACCTTCACCAGTTTCATATTTGCTCTACTTTGATTTGTACAGAGGTCACTGCAAGTAGATTTGAAATAATATTATTTAATAGTAGTGGTAATACAACAAGTAACTTCTAAGAATTACTTTATAGATCAATGGCCATTAATCAAGAGGTCTCTTTTAGACAGTCTCTTCAGCAAGCAGTGTAGGCAAAGTTGGACAGTGACATGTCAATCAATGAAATTAGAACATATCCTCACACCATACTCAAAAATAAACTCAAAACGGCTTAAAGATTTAAACATAAGACATAACCCCATAAATCTAGAAGGGAATGTAGGCAAAATATTCTCTCACATAAATTGTACCACTGTTTTCTGAGGGCAGTCTCCCAAGTCAACAGAAGTAAAAGCAAAAATAAACAAATGGGACCTAATCAAACATAAGCTTTTGCATAGCAAAGGAAACCATAAGCAAAAGAAAAAGCAACCTACAGACTGGGAGAAAATATTTGCAAAGATGACCACCACCACCAAGGGACTAATATCCAAACTACACAAACAGCTCATGCAACTCAGTAACAAAAAACCCAACTCAATCAAATGGGCAGAAGACCTAAATAAACGACCTAAATTTCTCCAAATAAGACATACAGATGGCCAATAGGCACATGAGAAGATGCTCAATATCACTAATTATTAGAGGAATGTAAATCAAATCTCAGTCGGTGAAGAGTCTGCCTGCAATGCGGGTGCCCTGGGTTTGATCCCTGGGTTGGGAAGATCCCCTGGAGAAGGAAATGGCAACCAAACCCCAGAATTCTTCCCTGGAAAATTCCATGGACAGAGGAGCCTGGTGGGCTACAGTCCATGGGGTCACAAAGAGTCGGACACGACTGAATGACTAACTTTTACTTTTCAAATCAAAACTCCAGCAAGGTCACCTCACACCAGTCAGAATGATCACCATTAAAAATCTACAAATAACAAATGCTGGAGAGGGTGTGGAGAAAAGGGAATCCTCCTATACTGTTGGTGGGAAAGTACATTGGTATAGCTACTATGGAAAGCCGTATGGAGGTTGCTAAAAAAACTAAAAATAGAGCTACCATATGATTCAGCAATCCCACTCCCAGGCACATATCTATAAAAAATTATAACTCAAAAAGATACACGTACCCCTATGTTCATAATAGCACTATTCACAATAACCAAAACATGAAAGCAACCTAAATGTCAACAGATGAACTGATAAAAAAGATGAGGTACAGATATACACAATGGAATAATACTCCTTGACTATAGAAAAAGAATGAGATAATGCCATTTGCAGCAACAAGGATGGACCTAGGGATTATCATACTAACTGAAAGAAGTCAGAGGACAAATATCATATGACATCAATTATATGTGGAATCTAAAATATGACACAAATGAAATTACCTACAAAACAGAAACAGACCCATGGATACAGAGAATAGACTTGTGGTTTGTTGCAGTGGGGAGGGATGGAGTGGGTGGTTGGGATTAGCAGATGTGAAGTATTATATACAGAAAGAGTAAACAACAAGGTCCTACCATATACCACAGGGGAGTATATTCAACATCGTATAATAAACCATAATGAAAAAGAATGTATACATATGTATACCTCACTGTACAGCAGAAATTAACACATTTGTAGATCAACTACACTTCAACAATTTTTTTAAAAACGAGGTCATTTTTAACACTCAAGGATTATGAATATAAAAATACAGAGTAAGTCTAGGAGTTAAAGGCTGTGGTCTGTAATTTCAACTGACCAAATAACTTCAGTCACTATTAATAAAAAGCAGGAAGACTGGGATAGATAAATGGGAAAAATGAAATTCTGCTTTTCACCAATTAAATATATGACTATAATGGGTGCTTAACAATCATAAGTCTGGGATTTAGATATTTAACTTTTTTAAACTATAAAACCAACTTCGATTAAAAAAAGACGTTCTCATGACATCAAAGAATAGTTAAAACATTTTTGGTTATAAAATAATTATTGGCTCAAAATGAAATGAAAAAACTCTTAAAGAAATCATAATCTTTTATACGTTGATCTGAGCAAAGTATTTAAAAGAATCAGGTTAAAGAGTCAAAGTTTACATGACCATAAACTGTTTCACAGTTTCTGATGATACAGTTTTCAATAAAAATTTTCATTTTGAAGATGTAATTAGTATTTTTAAACCATAAAATTAAATTTTAAAATGATAAAATATACCTATGTAAATTTATACGTTGGTAAGGAAAGGTCCACATTTTGTTAACATTCTAAGTCTCCGGGTCAAGGTATATTTATACTGTAAACTTAGCATTAATACACATTTAGAAATTATTTAAGAAAAATTAATATATTTTAGTAATAACATTTCTGGCTACATTGTAGGTGTTTTCACATATTATATCTCACTAATCTATATAACTAGTCTTCAACACAGAAAGAACAACCATTTTTCTTAAAGCAGTTAATTAGTCTGCAGTACTTATTACCTAGGTAAGCTGAACAAAGTAACAAACTATGGAGTGGCAGAACCAAATGTGAATCTAGATTTGTCTAACTTTTCTAAAACACCTACTTATTTCTATTAGAGCAGGCTGAATCTTTCAAGACAGGTACACCATCAGTTTCTTCATTATTTTTCTCACAGGAATATAAATTATTATACAAAATAATCATTTTATATCCATCTGAAATGAGTGTTAAGAGTCAGTGAGAGGAGCAGGACATTTCACTTCTGTCTATAAAGATAAAGTTGAGTGCTCTCCATTAATTATATGATAAGTAACAGTGAGGAGTTTGTAAAGAAATATCACTATGTAAACATGGTTTCCTAATACTTTCTCTTCTCAACTTTCTGACGTCTACTGACTTATTAAAACGGATCTATTCAACAGACAGATTCGATAGACTGTCAAAGGCAATAGTCTTCTTCATTTATCACAAGCCTGGTAATTAATTCATTAGCCTGCCAATCAACCACACTACTAGAGAGATTTGTGAAAGTAGAATGAAACAGCTTACCGTGCACAATGATGTCTCTGTGATTTTTAGGGTAAAATCTGAAGAAAATTCCAAATCTGAGACAGATGTTTTATGACAATCTATATGCTATCCATTAAAAAAAGAGTAGAGGGAAGGATTTAGTAAAAATAGTAAAAACAAAATCAGAAACACATAAATATTTATTTTCTATGCAAAAAAATTACTGTAAACCAATGCTTCGCAAACTTTAATCACCCACACCCCACTGTGGGGATTATTTCTAAACTTAAGGGCTATTAGCACTAATATTTAATTACATCTTCTTTAAATCAAATTAGTATTTTTTACTTAGACTTGTTATATGAATAATACATATCGAATTATGGCTCTGTTGTGCTCAAGTGTTTTCTAAGATAGATTAAAATACTCTCAAATAAATACTCTCCTGTGTTCCAACTAAAAGCATTTTGTAAACCACCAGTGGTATACATTCACAATAAATTATGTGTGGTAAGTCAATCTTTTTTGTAGGAAATGGCAACTTGAAAACATATGCTATTTAAAAGAACAAGGTGTTTTAGAATTCATTTTTGTAAGTGCATTTGAAGTTTGTTAAATATTAGGAACAACCACACCAATTCCAACCAATGAACAAAATCAACTATGAAGATTCACTTCAGGGGAAAAAAATGGCCAAATATCCTTATTTTCCTGTTCTGTCCTAGTTCAAAGCCTTCTCCATTTCACTATGGAGAGTAGATGGACTCGGGTACAGCAGTGTGACTAAAGGATGCTGTGCTGTGAAGGCTGTCATCGGCATTTGGCTGACCATGAATAGGTTATAACACAGTGAACACAATTCACATGACTACTTGAGGCATTACTCTATTTTAAACAGTGAGAAAATTTTAAAGAAGCCACATTGTGGTTGACTTTTATTCATAAAAGGACTGGGGAATACAGAACAGGCTACATTTACCTAAACAAACAAAAAGAGAAAAGGATATGTATACTTTTTAAACACCTTTGTTTATCAGTCCTAAATCTTCTATTTCAACTATTTTATTTACCCATAGCATTTTTTGGGAATTAAGCCAAGAAATAACTAGAGAGAGAAATTAGCACCACGACATGACCCTTCTCTTTCTGTTCCGTCTTAAGGTTGAGTTGGCTCTAACCATTCACCCTTCCCCGAGTGGAAGAATCCAAATAAATCCTTTACACTCAGTGTACCAGGGCACTGAACAGTCCTATAGTCATTAACCATGCTGTATTTTTTTTCTTAAAAGCTGAATGCAATTTTAATCAGCTTGTTCTTGTTGAGAAACTTCACATATTAATTTAAGACTTTATCCACTTAAGAAAATTAATGAACTTTTACTGAATATCTATTGAATACTTTGTGCCAAGAATAATTATTGATACTATGAAAGTAAAAGTGTGACTAAAAAGAGACAGTGTTCTGAATTTAACACTAAACAAGCTATATTTATTTCATTATACAATCAAAATAGATAAATTAAGGAGTCTTTCACAAAAACCAACAGTACTATCACTAATTGCAAAATTACTCAACCCATGCAAATTTGACATAGCAAAACTGTCAATAAAATGAGAGATTAACACAGTGAAGAATATAAAATTAAAATAGCAGGGTTTTAGTCTCATGGACAAAGTCACTGTAATTACTTAATCTGAAAAGGCTGGAAGAAATCCAAATGAGAAGTTAAACTGTGTGAAACGTACAAGAATGAATAACCTGGCTATAAATAAGAAGCTTAGAATTAAGGGCAGGAGGTGGTGGTGAAGCAGAAATGACAATACAACAGGACTTTCTCCCTTCACTAAGTCAATGATTCAAGCCTTCAGTGTAAGAAACTTCACTACATAAAGAGAAGTGATTCCAAACGGATGGCACAGTCAACTGGTAAATATTATGACATCAAGCTGCTTTAATTAAAATGAAGAATGATTAGTTTTGAAGACCCATACATAAAATCAATTCATCAATTTGACATACTAACCTCATAAATGAAAAATAAGAAATACAGCCACACTGTTAAAGAAAATAGTGAAGTACCCACCTTAACACTACAGGCGTCTGAAATAAGTGTCTTTGGATCTAAAACATCCACCACAGCCTCCGGAATGACTGCTTTCTTCATGCAGGACATGTTGAAGCCATAGACGTCATCCCAAAAAGCAATCCTATCAGCATGCTTATTCATATCACTTACTGCCACAAGGCTGACAGTGCAACTATCAGGGTAGACTGTAACAGATAAAACACCCAACAATTTAGTATTATCTCCCTTTATAACAAAATACAATCATTAAGGCTATAGAAATACCAAATCCAAAGTAGAGATTACTAGGAATTGATTACTAGCAGTGGAGAGTAGTAAGATTAAAGTAAGGATTTCAATGATGAGCTCCTATTCAAATTATTTTAAAAGGATGACACAATCTTGAATTTATTAATATTAAACATGCTGACTGTAAAGAGGTACTAGATTTTTACCTTGTATGTTACTCTGAAACGTGTAAAGACAAGTCCTTTCTAAAGATGTTATGTGACGTGTAAAGAAAATTATGGGACAGAATTTTATAGTTGTGCAGGAGACCAGTTCATATTACCCCCTCTTATTTATTATAAAAGGTAAATATTTATGAGCACTAAATATGTGCCAGTAAGTTACTCTAATTTATGTGGATACATGTCCCTACTCAAACTTTCATTTATACAATTTTGACAAATAAACTGAAAATTATTTGTGATGCAATAAATACTAAGAAAGGGGAAGCATAAGGTACTAAGAGACCTACAGAAAAAAAAACAAACAACAATCCAGCTAACTCAGCTTTGTTTATGGCAGGGAAACAAGGATATTATCATGAAGAGAGCTGAAAAACAAGTAAGTCTGGAATGGCGGGGGGGGGGGGGGGGAGTGGGTATGTTCTAGGAAGGGTGGGCAGTGGGCATCTAGGGACATAGTACACTCCAACTTGAGAGGAATAAGTAAGGAATACTAAACTACAAAGGTTAAGTAGAAACCAAAAAAAAATAAAGCCAGTGCTGAGTAAACCACATTAATAAACTGGACTTTATTCTGAGAATAAGGATAAGCCAGTGAAAAATTTCATGAGGGAGCACTTGGTCAAATTTTGGTTTCAGAAAAGCCACATGGAGTGCAATGTGGAGAATAAATGGTAGGAAGCAAGACTTAAGAAAGAGGCACTTATAATAATTCAGCTGATCTGAAGTGGAGTGATGGCTGTGGGAATGGAAAGAAGGAGATAGTCAAGGTAAGTTTAGGAGACAGAACTTACAGATGGTAAGACAGGCTGGCTATGAAAGCGAGAATCAGGAAGAGTCAAGGATGACAGGCTTTATACTTAGTGACTGGGCAAATTATGGTACTAACCAGGGCAAGGGAATAACGTAAGGGCAGATTCAAGAGGAATATGAGAGTTTAATGCTTAGACAAATAGGTAAAAATATCCAATTAATTATCAGCTGATACATAGGCTTGGAATTCAATAGAGGTGATCTGGATTCAATACCAAGAGAATAAGTGTTAAGAGAGGTAAGGGAATAGTGTGTTCAGAGACAGACTCTTTTTTATTTATTTAGTTTTGACTGTGCTGGGTCTGCATTGCTGTGCGGCCTTTTCTGTCGTTTCGGAGAACGGGGGCTACTCTCTAGCTGTGGTACCTGGGCTTCTCACTGCAGGAGCCTCTTTTATTGCGGAGCATGGACTCAGTAGCTCCACAGCATGTGCGATCTTCTCGGGTAAGGGAATGAACCTGTATCCTTTGCATTGCCAGGTGGATTCTTTACCACTGAGCCACCAGGGAAGCTGAGAGAAACCCTCTTCTAGTAACAAGTAAAAGTCTTTATAACACAAACTTTTTAAAACAATATTGATGCTCGTTTTTTGGACTAATAATCAAATTAACTTTGTCCTTCAAATGTCAACATTTAGGGAATTTGTAAGTTAAAATATAAAATACACATTACTGTATCAACACACTGAAAGAAACTACATGTGTGCCAAAGAAACAAAAGAAATAATTTCACTATTATTAACTTAGCCTTCAGACATAAACATCAGAGAAATAACCCTCCTTCCTCCGAACTTTCTCTCCACAGCTGTAGGAATTTTATTATTCAATGACAGCAGTACTAAATTATCTTCTAAATAAAGCCCACGATAAGATCTGTTGACAACAAAGCAACTGCTTCTTCCAAACCTGACATCTGAGATACCCAGAAAAAAGACCTGGAGATATAATAATGATAAGAAGTTTCCCAAGTCTTGTCTAAAGCAGCAAGTGAGTCAGGTGTGACAACTGCACTGGGCTGGAGTCGACTGCCGGGTAACCTGAATTACTTCTCCTTTCCTCTTCCTCCACAAATGTGGTAAGCCTCTTGACTGTGTTTAAATTTCTGACTGATATAAATACTTCAAAGTACAAGATATGCTACTGCAAATGGTGATTCAGCAAGTTATCTGCTATAGGAAAGGTATGCATGTTTAGTTTCCTGAACCAGGTCCTTACGATGAGGAACACTGAAGAAGAAACAGAAGCAACTTTAGATATCTAGGTCAGGAAGATCCCCTGGAGAAGGAAATGGCATCCCACTCCAATATTCTTGCCTGGAGAATCCCAGGACTGAGGACTGGTAGGCTACAGTCCATGGCGTTGCATGAGCTGGACAAGACTTAGCAACTAAACCACCACCAAGTTTTTTATGTACACTTCAGACTTAATATGATGATCATAGAGGCTTTCCAACATCATGTCCTGTAATTTCACCCTTAAAGAGGAACATAATAGATGAGGGGTCAGCAAACATCTTATATAAAGTGACTGTATTACATTTTGTAGGCTATATGGTCTTTACTGAAACTATTCATCTCTGGTGCTATGATGTAAAAGTCCCACAGATAATTATAAATACATGAGCATGGCTATTTTCTAATAAAACTTTATCTAAAAAAAGCAGGACACTAGGTATCAGTTCAGTTCAGTCCCTCAGTCGTGTCCAACTCTTTGAGACCCCATGAACTGCAGTCATGCAAGCCAGGCTTCCCTGTCCATCATCACCAACTCCTGGAGCTTGCTCAAACTCATGTCTATTGAGTTGGTGATGCCATGCAACCATCTTATCCTCTGTCGTCCTCTTCTCCTTCTGCCTTCAGTCCTTCCCAGCAGCTGGGTCTTTTCAAATGAGTCAGTTCTTCACACCAGGTTGCCAAAGTATTGGAGTTTCAGCTTCAGCATCAGTCCTTCCAACGAATATTCAGGACTGATTTCCTTTAGGATTGACTAGTTGGATCTCCTTGCAGTCCAAGGGACTCTCGAGGGTCTTCTCCAACACCGCAGTTCAAAAGCATCAATTCTTTGGCACTCAGCTTTCTTCATAGTCCAACTTTCACATCCATACATGACTACTGGAAAAACCACAGCTTTGACTAGATGGACCTTTGCTGGCAAAGTAATGTCTCTGCTTTTTAATATGCTGTCTAGGTTGGTCACAACTTTTCTTCCAAGGAGCAGGCATCTTGCGGATATTCCTAATACAGAAGAGGCAGTGTACATTCAAGCCACTTAACATGGTTCACAGAGTTCTTCTATTTTAGAATATTATTAAAAATCTTAGTGGACTTAAAATACTATCTAGCCTTTTATAGAAATGTCTGAACTCAGGCACTGAATCAAGTAATATGATGTACTCATTAGTAATAGCATTAAGAAGTAAGGATAACTTTTCCACTGTTTTTAGAAGGAAAAACTCAGTTACTAAAACTAATTAAAAAGCAATTCTGATATTAAAGAAATGCAAATCAAAACTACAATGAGGTTAATTTTCACCTCACACCAGTCAGAACGGTAATCATTAAAAATTCTACCAACAATAAATCCTGGAGAGGGTGTGGGAGAAGGGAGCCCTCTCGCTGCTGGTGGGAGTGTAGACTGAAACAGACGCTAAGGAGAGCAGCACGGCAACTCCTTAAACAACGAGGAGCAGAACTACCGTGCGACACAAGGATCCCACCACTGGGCATATACCCCGAGAAAACCGTAACTGAAAGAGATGCGTGCACCCAAACGTTTGCGGCAGCACTTTTCACAAGAGCCAGTACGTGGAAGCAATCTAGAGTGCATCGACAGATGAATCTTACAGAAATCATGGTGTCTGTGTGTATAGTGGAATATTACTCAACTAAAAACAATAACACATTAGAGTCAGTCCTAATGAGGCGGCTGAACCTAGAGCCTATTACACAGAGTAAAGTCAGTCAGAAAGACACTGTATATTAACATGTGCGTTCGGAATCTAGGAAGATGGTACTGATGAACCTATCTGCAGGGCAGCAGGGGAGACACAGGCAGAGAGAACAGACTTGTGGACACGGTTGGGGAAGGAGAGGGTGGGACGAATTGAGAGAAAAGCATGGAAACATACATATCACCATATGTAAAATAGACAGCAAGTAGGAACGTGCTGTGTGACACAGGGAGCTCAACTCCGTGCTCTGGGACAACCTCGAGGGGTGGGACGGAGAGGGAGATGGAAGGGGAGCTGAGGAGGGAGGGGACATATGCATATCCGTGGCCGATTCACGTTGATGTATGGCAAAAACCAACACAATACTGTAAAGCAATTATCCTCCAATTAAAAAAAATTGTTAACACAATTAGCAGATTATAGGAGGTAGAAATAACATATTTTAGCTGTTAAAAACAATTTTAAAAATATGTTGGTAATAAGAAACAGACTAAAGAGGAATACGATTTAATTTTTTGCAGTTTATTTTTTCAATCTAATTATATTTCACAAAGATATAAAAAATCATGGCCTCTGTATTTGTTAGAATTTAGAAATAAGTTTTTAATCTTTCAGTTAGTAAGATCTATGAATATCCATGAAAGACTTGCTATCAATGCTATAGGCCAATTTGATTCTTTATCCACCTCCTCACAGCTGGCTAACATTTTGGGCCAGCTGCCAGAATCCTGACTAACCCTTTACCTTCGCATTCTGACACATTTGTCATCTGATTTTTGTCAGATAGAAGTATAATTGAATAATTATTCTTTCTTGTAGGTGAAATTAACAAAGCGCTGATTGGACAAAAGCCTTTTCTTAGCAGACCATTTATAAATTCATGGCTTTGACATCTGTGTCCTTCTCGATTCACTGCCCAGAATTCATTTGTCACTAGAACAGCTCACATGGTGAACAGATAAAGATGGGAAATC